ATGACTGAGCGACTAAGCATGAGCATCATGCCAAATATATAAAGAAATCATATAACTTTACAGAAAAAAACCCACCACCAACAACACAACAATTTGATTAAAAAATAGGCAGAGGATCTGAACAGACATTTTTCCAAAGGAGACATTCAAATGAACAACAGGTACATGAAAAGATGTTCAAGATCATTATTAAGGAAATGTAAATCAAAACCACAATGAGCTATCACCTCATACCTCATTCATGTCAGAATGACTACTGAAAGAAAAAAGAAGAAATAACCAGTGTTGGTGGGGATGTAGAGAAAATGGAACCTTTGTACCACTACACATGGAAAGTAAATTGGTGCAGCTTATATGGAGAACAGTATGGAGGTTACTCAGACATTACAAATAGACCTACCATATGCTACCGCAATTTTGCTTCTGTATATTTATCTGAAGAAACGGAAAATACCAACTCAAAAAGATATATGCACCCCATTTTCACTGCCTCATTATTTACAAATCAAAGATATGGAAAAAATCCAAGTGTCCACATGAGGATAAATGAATAAAGAAGATGTAGTATCTATATAAACAATGTAATACCATTCATTCAATGTAATAGCCATAGAAAAGAGTGCATTGGTCGGCAGTTCTCTGGTGGTTCAGATGATAAAGAGTGAGTCTGCCTGCAGTGCGGGAGACCCCAGTTTGATCCTTGGGCCGGGAAGATCCCCTGGAGAAGGGAATGGCAACCCATTCCAGTATTCCTGCCTGGGGAATCCTATGGACGGAGGACCCTTGGAGGCTACAGTCCATAGGGTCGCAAAGAGTTGAACATGACCGAGTGACCTCACTTTCACTTTTAAAGAAAAGAATGAAATCTAGCCATTTGTAACAACATGAAGAACTCTTCAGGGAATTATGGTAACTTATACATACAAAGAACAGATTGTTGAAGGGCAAAATGGGTAAAGGCATTCAAAACGAATAAACTTTCAGTTATAAAATAAATAAGTCATGGCAATGTAATGTACAGCATGATGACTAGAGTTAATAATACTGTACTGCATATTTGAAAGTTGCTAAGAGAGTAGATCTTAAAAGTTCTTATCACAAGGAAAAAATTCTGTAACTATGCATGGTGATGGATGTTAACTAGATTTATATCAACTAGATAAGTTTTGCAATATACACAAAGAGCAAATAATTAATTTTTAAACCTGAAATTAATGTTTATGTCAAGTATGCTTCAATAAAAAAATGGACTGCAAAAATTACTCTGAGAAATTTCAAGGACGAATCGAGCTTTAATGTTGAACAACCTTTATCTTTCAAATCTGAGAAAACAATGCTTCCTGTTTTGACGTATACATGTCTTTGCCAACATGCTAAAACGGTTCTCTTCCCAATTCCCACTTCTAGCATTCCTCCCTTTGCTACCAATTTTCTATGTAGTTTGGTAAAGACTGATGCCTGATGAAGAAACCATAATGCCTTTTGCCTTTCTTTCAGAAAAACACTTCTTACCCCACGTACCACAAGAACTAGAAAGTATAATCTAAACACAGATGGCCTCTTCATATGAGATTTCTCCATCTCCCTTTTCAGACCAAAAGACACTTTGAAATGATGAAAACACAACTGGCAAAAAGAAGTATAATTCTTATGCCAAGAATGTTCAGGCAACCACTTCACAGTGGTTCTAATACAGTGTCTCTGAAAAAGAGGAAAATAGCCTTTTTTGAACCCCCGACAAGGAAGGAATCCTGAGGAAAAAAAGCAGCAACCTTTGACAACCCACTCTTCAACTCTTGGGCAGCACTCATTCATGATGTTTCAGAGGACAAACAATCGTCCAAAGTGCAACAGTGCAAACCTTGAACAATCTCTTTGGGAAGTTAGGACCTCAGGAAGGCAGAGGCAGAGTTCTTGCAGAGTCTTCCTTTGGAAAGGAATAGCACACTTTATTTTTATGTACTAATACTGTACTGCATATTTGAAAGTTGCTAAGAGAGTAGATCTTAAAAGTTCTTATCACAAGGAAAAAATTCTGTAACTATGCATGGTGATGGATGTTAACTAGATTTATATCAACTAGATAAGTTTTGCAATATACACAAAGAGCAAATAATTAATTTTTAAACCTGAAATTAATGTTTATGTCAAGTATGCTTCAATAAAAAAATGGACTGCAAAAATTACTCTGAGAAATTTCAAGGACGAATCGAGCTTTAATGTTGAACAACCTTTATCTTTCAAATCTGAGAAAACAATGCTTCCTGTTTTGACGTATACATGTCTTTGCCAACATGCTAAAACGGTTCTCTTCCCAATTCCCACTTCTAGCATTCCTCCCTTTGCTACCAATTTTCTATGTAGTTTGGTAAAGACTGATGCCTGATGAAGAAACCATAATGCCTTTTGCCTTTCTTTCAGAAAAACACTTCTTACCCCACGTACCACAAGAACTAGAAAGTATAATCTAAACACAGATGGCCTCTTCATATGAGATTTCTCCATCTCCCTTTTCAGACCAAAAGACACTTTGAAATGATGAAAACACAACTGGCAAAAAGAAGTATAATTCTTATGCCAAGAATGTTCAGGCAACCACTTCACAGTGGTTCTAATACAGTGTCTCTGAAAAAGAGGAAAATGGCCTTTTTTGAACCCCGGACAAGGAAGGAATCCTGAGGAAAAAAAGCAGCAACCTTTGACAACCCACTCTTCAACTCTTGGGCAGCACTCATTCATGATGTTTCAGAGTACAAACAATTTTCCAAAGTGCAACAGTGCAAACCTTGAACAATCTCTTTGGGAAGTTAGGACCTCAGGAAGGCAGAGGCAGAGTTCTTGCAGAGTCTTCCTTTGGAAAGGAATAGCACACTTTATTTTTATGTACACATCTTTTTCCCTGTATATGAAACCTTCCGAAGGGAAATGTGATTTTATTTCCAGCCAAGTCTCTGATTCAACTTCTAGGTCTCACACTCACACTGAAGCAATCCTCTCTGTCAGCTTGCTCAATATTCTTTCCCAAAGTTGTTACAGGTATGGTTTGAAGTCTCCTTTTGAACTCTGAAATTCTTAAACCATCATCTGGATGGTTTCCTAGCAGTAGCTTGGATTTGTCTGATCCATCTCCTTAAATTCTTATTTCTCCACTTGCTAAACTGTCTGTTCTTTCACTATGGCCCTGTGCATTGGTATCATCACTTGTTTGATCAGTTCATTTTCCCCTGAATAATATCAATAATAATTTAGGCTGAAAAAAAAGCAAAATTACCTTGCTACTTTTAAAATCAACTCCTGTGATTCTGTACATAAATAAATCTACACTATTATTTTGAGGAATCATGCTGTGGGAGATTGCGTTCAACTCCTATTCAGTATGTTCAATCTTTCTATTGTTTCTGTCACAGACGTTTGGAAATGGAAAAAAAAAAAGAATGATTTGAAATAGTTTCACTTGAACTTAGGAAGTGTAAATCACTCAAAATCCTACCCTTTGTGGCATAGTAACAGCAAAGTCCCTCAAGGATTATGAGAAAAGGGTGGGAATTTCTGGACACTAGGGGAGGCGTTTGCACTTGAGGAAGAAAAAGCATGTTTTATTCCTAACGACCCTATGAGAGGTCTTGTGTAGCCCCAAGATGGCTTAGGTATACTGTAGTTTGCCCAGAAATTGTCCTATTGCTCTTACTCCACAAGTACATGCCAGGGCAGGGATTTCCATTTTCAATCCCAACGCCACAAATACATAATAAACATGCTAACAGCACAGACAGCTGTTTCTTTGGCTTAAGGATTTGTGCATTACTGTGGTTTGTGAGTTTATCAACCTGAGTTTTTATGTAACAAAAACATATTAACTAATTTGATATTGTTGCTGTTTAATTTCCATATTCAAATATAGTTATAGTTAAAATAATATTTAGTAGAGAGTGTAAGTACACTTTTACTTGATCTCTTCCTAAACAGGAAGTCCTAGGGTGTACGTGTAGGTGTGTTTTCAGGATGTAGGAAAGAGAAGTAAAATAACACCGTGGTTGCTCTAAGCGACTGACTTTATATTTGTGTGAAAGTAAACTGAAGGAAATTATGAAATTCCTTTCCCAGGAGATCTTTCATAGTATCCTGGGTTGCATCTGCTGAGATCTTTATGACAAATTCTGCCTACAGGCAGGGTAATGGATTTTGAAGATCTTTCATGGAATTGTACACCCCCAAGAGTATGTGAAATTGAGTTCAGAAGTTGAAAGAAACCAGGGTTCAAAAAGTCTATTCTCTTCAAGTAAGTTAGGTCTCTGACCTTGGATTTTGGTTTTTTCATTTGTAAAGTTATTGGTGCTAGAACAGATCAGTGATTTTTAACATTTTTTGGTGTATAATACAACCCTGTGTGTGAGTGGTGGGGGGGTGGGTTATGAATTTTCTGAAGGCTGTCCATTTATTCTCTGGGGTCCATGGATTTTGTGTTAAATTCTAGAATTAATGATTTCTGAGGTACCGCAGAGAATTTTGATTTCTCTATTTTAAACACATTGAGAGTATTAAAAACAAATAGGAGACATCTGTTCTTAGAATGTGACAATGTTGTGTGGAAGACTGAACACATACAGAAAAGACCTAGTTAAGCTTCCATGTTTATGGGCATATCATGGGACAGAATACACACCGCACACAGGAGAACACAGAGACTAGAGAAACAGAGTCAGAAAGAGGAAAGCAATGCAAGCAGATTCAAGTCAAGAAAAAATTCTGTTTCTGGTAGAGGTAAGGGAGAACAGGAAAGTGAACAGTCACAAACTCAGAAGCATAGTAAGAAACATCAGGCACATTTTTTTCCTTCTGTAACTTAACTGTGTTGAACCTTCCTTTTAAAGTCATCTAGTTTAAAAAAGGGTTGAAGTTAAAACAGAAAGAACACGAGACCCTGTAACACTCAAAGACTCAGACAGACAGGAGGGAGGGCAGGCATTGGTCAGGGACTTACATGTCAGGTGATCTCCACCTTGGAAACGAGGTTATCATGGCTTTTGGGCCATTCACCGTTTTCTCTATTCTTCTGCTTAGTTGTCTTCTCCAGCCACATGCACATCAGCTCCTTCTCCAGGATGGCCTGAAAAAACCAAGGCCTCCACACGGGCCAAGCTCTGAATCCAGGTCATCTCCTCCTCTGACACCCTGAGTTTCTCTTTTGCGGTCTTCAGCGCTTGATACCTATTCAATTCATACAATGAAATTCTCAACACTAGTCTTCAGCGAGTCTCATGCATGCACTAATCTTTGATCACCACATTCTATTTCTCAAACAGCTTGAAGAGGTCAGAGAAAGATTCTCTCGTGGAGTTCAGGCCTCTTTCAGGACCTTCTACATCTCAGCTTTGCTGGGTTTTCTCACTGCCTGGTGCATGATCCGCTTGAACTCTGCCATGATCTTCCCCGCCTCCAGGTCCTCCACGCGGCAAAGGACATGCGGGACCAGTTGGGGCTCCAAGGAGGTCAAGTCCCAGCCCCCCGACCGCAGGCGGGCCTTGTAAGGACGATGCCTCTGGGTCTCGGGAGAGGTGGGTTTCGGCGCCAGTTGGCCGATCTCTCATGGCTGCTCTTCAGGAGTGGTCAAGCTGGAGATATAAGGACAGTTTCCTCAGGTTAATTCTTAAACGAGGGAGTCACAAACTGCTCCAGAAAGTCCAGGTTGGCCGGAACCCGGCATTCGGCTGGGTCTTGGAGGTGCTCCTGGGTCAAGTGGGGCATATCAGATGTGACTGTGGTGAGAGCAGGCGCAGCCCACGCACTCGGTTTCCCTGCTCGCCCGCCGCCCCTGCGATGCAGAACGTGGTCTTACCACCGAGTCATGTCCGTCCGCTGAGGCTAAGCCAGAGCCACTTCCTCACAGGTGAGTCTCTGAGGCCACAGGCCCAGAGTATCGTTCCTCCGCCACGGCCAGGCCGCCCCTCTTTGGGGGCCCGGCTGCCCTGCCACCTTCGAATGGGTTGGTTTGGGTGGTCCAGTGTGTCCCAGTCCAGTTTGTCGGCCCTTGAAAAAGGGTCCCGGAAGTCTCATCCGCCTCCTGGGGTCTTTTCTGGCCTCGCCTTTTGGCATTGGGTCTCTTCCTCGGCTGCCTTGGTCCGGGTGGCTTCATCAGAGGAGTCAAATTCTGGGCTGATGGGCCCACTGCTTAAACCATCGGCCGGTTGGCCATTGGCTGCTTCTTGCTGAGGACTTGGGGACCCGGCCCCTCCAGGGTTCAGAGGGTGGGCGGGGGCTGTGTTTCCAGGACCGGAAGTGACCTGGGGCCAGCAAGGCACGTCTTCAGGGAGCCCTTCTCCACCAGGCATGTCTTGATCAAAAAGTGGGAAGTACGTCTTGCATTTCCTCGAAGATCCGACCAAGGGGTTAAATTTAATTGCCTGATGGTAAAGTACAGCTATTAGCTGCAAGGTAAATTTCAAGGAGGTGGTGATAGGAAATACTTTTGGAGAAAATTCTGTACAGGCAGGAAAAAAATGAGGATAACATACTATGTAGAACGCTCCTTTAATGGTCAAGGGAAAACGTAATAATGATACACCGAACAGTGATTATGTCTGCAGAACTAGGGGAAAAAAAAAAAAACTGATCAAAGAATATTATTGCAAATAATAGGAGAAATATGGTAATGCATAAGAGAAAAATGAAAAGGTAAAAACTAAGGTAAGCCCAATAAACCCATAATTCACCATTGTGGCAAAAGCCTTGAAGGTGATGAGGACTTTAGGTCCAGTCTAGCCTCAGCTTTTAAAGTACATGCATACTCATTAAGTCGTGTCCAACTCTGCTACTGTAACCTGCCAGGCTCCTCTGTTCATGGGATTTTTTTCAGGCAAGAACCTTGGAGTGGGTTGCCACTTCTTCCTCCAGGGGATATTCTCAACAGAGGGATCAAACCGGCATCTCCTGTATCGCCTGCGCTGCAGGCGGATTCTTAACTCGTTGAGCCATCCGGAAACTGTTTATAAAGTGGTGAGTTCTGGAGTATTGATGTGTTAAGCGGCCATTCCAATAGTGAATTCTTGTAACAACTGTCACAGAAGTGAAACATCTCTGATTCAAGACAGATTCAAAAAATGTATGTCTATCAGAAAACTGATTTTTTTTTAAACTTCATGAGTGTTCTGACATATTCATTTAGAATTTATTTTAGAGTTTAAATTTTTGTTCTGTAAAACAGATATTGTTTTCCTAGAATTGAAGGCTGATCATTTAGTCAGCAACTAGTTCCTTCTGAACAGATAAATATACTCATTGCAAGAGAAATTCCTTCAATTTATAATGTTTCATAAAATGAAAATAAATTAAGCTTTTTGTCTTTAGTAAAAGCACTAAGGTACAAGTTATTAGGAGAAACTTTACCAGTTCTTAAAGTGAGAAAGTTAACTTTCCATATTGAATTTTTTCCCACATCAGTTGTGAACTGGGACATATTTTGCCGTATTATAGTTAACGTCTAGTTTCTACTTGAATATAGTTTTGGAACCAAGAACACCCTTCAGGCAATAGTATTTCTATTCAAACCTGTGTTGAAAATATCCACATAATATGAATATATAAAACAAAATATCAGTGTCTTTCAAAAACTAATTTCTCAGTGTCTTAAGGATAGTATTCAGCAAATTCTTGAAGGGTTAGTGGTTGGTAGAGAGACTACATGGGATAAATATACTCCAATGGGTAGAATACCCTACATGTTCTAGGCTTTTTTTTCCTTACACTATTCCAAAGAATTTTTGATACCACCATTCTTTGTAGTTAAGATCAATATTCAGTCCAGGTTTTATCAAAAACAGTCAGGCAACTAAATTGGAACCACTCAACTGCTTGAGTTTGCATATTGAATTCAGACTCTCTAGTAAATACATATGTGTATTGATAAACTCAACTCAGTTTGAGATTATGTTATTCCCTATTTGGTTTAGTTCCCTGATAATCTATTCCCATGTGCATCCTCCAGATTATATATATATATATATATATATATACATACGTACATATATATGTATATATATATGAAATTACAAAATTTGGCAGTTATTTTTGGATATATAAACCCTCTGTTCTCAAGTTTGACTATGTAATTGGCCCTCAAGGCATTCTGGAAATGATGGGCATGGGTATTTTATGTTGGCTAGAGATGGTGGTGGGAGTTTCTGTGTAAATTTGGTACCAAATTTCAGTGGGGAGACCAGAATCCCAGAGTGTCAGGGGCTGACTATTGGGGCAGAGACTTTAGTTACTGAGGTAAGGGGGGAAGTGTATCTTGATAGGCTGCATGACTGGATGATAATACAAATCTCTGACCTTGAGAGAGATTTGGTGATGATACCCCATCATCCGGTTTCTAAGTCCACATCAATAAGTAACCCTCTAAAATCTAACTAACCTGTGTAAACACAAATATAGGCTTCTCTTCCGTTTTTCATANGAGAGATTTGGTGATGATACCCCATCATCCGGTTTCTAAGTCCACATCAATAAGTAACCCTCTAAAATCTAACTAACCTGTGTAAACACAAATATAGGCTTCTCTTCCGTTTTTCATATCTTTCCTCAAATGTTACCTTTTCTCTGAAGCCATCCAGCCATCCTATTTCATGTGTGCATACTCCTACCCATATCTTTATATTCTTCAAAGTGCCTGTTGTATCCATCTCCCTTAATATAACAGAGCTCTTGGAAACAGGGGAGTTGACTACTCCTGAGAATGGACATAAAGCAGGCCCAGTTTTAGTGAGGTACTCTTTAAGGACACACAATTTAGGGGACACTAAAAAACTCAGTCATCAAGGTATAAAGTATTTTAACGTAAAAATTAAAAAAGCATCATTAATGCAAAATAACCCATGGTGAATAAAGTATCCTACCTTAGAGAAAGACAGGAGTCATAATAATACCATACTGAGCATATTAGAAACCTAGGCAAAAGGGAAAAAACAGAAATACTGATCCAGTGGTGTGGACTTTTTACAGTTAAGTGTGAGTTGCCACACCTTATCCCTGTACCATTAAGAAAGAAGCAATGTTTGGATAACATCTTTAGATTTTGGAGGAGACGTATAACTCTTTTGGGTGAATTTCTCTGATTTGTCTACTGGATTGTTGCCAGAGCTACCAACTTTCAGTCAAGCTCAGCGTGAGAGAGGTTTTCCTACCTGGATCTAGCTGTTCATGCTTCTCATGTCTTGGGGAATTGGTATTACCATCATGTCTGTGGCAGAAAAGCATCTCCATGGAGTTGGCAACAAACCCTGAGAGACCGTTAGATTTTGGAGCAAAGCCACTAATTTGTTGTCGAATAATTATTCTCTCTTTCTATCCGTGAATTTTGGCAATGTGCATCTCTCAGTTTAGAGATGTAAATGTGGTCCACAGGCTTTCCCAGCCTTTTGTGCAGCTAGAGTGTCTGCATGTGAATGAGGATCTGTCAACCAGATATTCTTACCCCAGATTTTGATTTAGGATCAAATGACTGAAAGGTGTAGATGCCACATACAGTTCATTTTGCTGTGGGAAGAGGGGAACCTTTAATTTCCAGGGTCAATAGAAGTAGCTAAAGTTCTAATGACAGTACCAGGGTGTGCTCACTGATGGTGGTAGAGGCTGCCTCACTGAACAGTTCTGCACTGTGGTTTTGGGCTTTGCACAGCCTCCAAACCTAATTATCTGGCCTTTCTAGAAGTTGTGTGAGCTATCCAATGTACTTTAATTTCTTTTCAGATTAAATTATTAAAAGATGGTTTCTGTTACGATTCCAAGTTTTGGTTTTTGTACTAATATATGAATCCTGCCAAATGATGAAAAAATTCCAGTTTTAACCTTTAGAAGTTTGGTCTATTAAGAGAAAATATGTTTTTTCTTTAACTAATGCCTGGAAACTTATGCATTTCTTATTTTCCTTCTTGCTGTATGTAGTGACTTGCACATGTAGTGTGAATTACATACATACTGCTGGCTGAAATGAACAGCAGTTTGACTCAAATCATCAAATAAATCACCTATTTTATTTTATTATATCCTAGATTCTTAGCTTACCATCCATTCTATATAAACAAATAAGGAGTAGGGGTATTTGAGGAATATTAGAGTGGGTAGCCATCTTTATAGCTCTGAGAAAGTAACCTGAGGCAGGTGGTATGTATTAAATAAGGGAAATACATTTCCCTTGGAGAAACAGACTATATTTTCAAGTGTGGTCTAGAATCTAGGATACCTCTTGAAGCAATAACTGAAGCTCTGCAGAATTGAGCCTCTTTGAGGCATTCACTGTCACCCATGGTTCACTACATTTCACCAGGTGTGAGAAAGATTTGCAGGCACCTGGGATGAATGAGGCCAAATGTCTCTGCTTAGTCACAGACACCCCTTTCTTTCTCCCCATATCAAGAAGATCCCTGTGGGCTTTCTCTATGACTAAATCTGCCTGGCCTGGCTTTCCAAAGATGGTGTGATTTAAAGGGATAGATGCCAAGAAGAATAAAGGATGCTGGCAGGGATTTTGGAGCCAAAGGCAAGGTCTTCAATGTAATTCAACCCCGAAAGTAATAGGCCTGGGAGTGACTCTCACCTGCCTCAGACACAAAAGGCATTTTCCTTTCACCTATAAATGGCAACTTCAGTCAGCAGTGATTGCTTCTGGTGATGTTTCTACAATCACCAGTCTGAGCCACCTATATCTCTTGAATGACATCAGGTCGACAGCATACAGGATAATCATTGGAATTCATAGCTGGCATCAGAGCTGGGTGATCTCTTTCTCCATCCTCTTACCCTTGCCAAAGCAATCAAGTTAGTTCTGTTAACAGCCTGCCAAATCAGCCAGCCTAGTAAACTCTGTGTCTTAGAAAGGAACTCTAGACATTCATATTGGTTCATATTGTTTTTCTCCCCTCAGTGTGATCTTGGGAACCTCGCCAAGGGGTCTGATGGCTGTCGTCTGATGATGCCATGTGAAGTCTTTAATAAGCTGACATTTCCTGTTGATGAGGTGCCATGTTTGAAGTCCAAACCAAACAGTGTTTAGGCTCTTTGGATCCCAGACTCTGTTTTTGTCTCTTTCTATTCCTTCTCTGGACTGAGTGGTCAGCTCTTCCCACCCTGTGTTCCTTCATCTCACCTTTGTAGATATGCAATACAAAGGTTAGATGGCAGGCACTGACTTTCAGCAAGACTGAACCTACTGAAAGACCCTTGAGAGCAGAACAGCCTGGGCTGTGTTGCTGGCTTTGTTATGAGACCCAGAGGGGAGCATTGGCTGGAAGTGCTTCCTGTAAGAGGTGGAGGCTGTTTTCCGAGAAGGCAAATGGAAGCCTGTCAGTTGGGTTAAAGGAGAAGGCAAAAAACCTCCTTTCTCTCAAAGTTCTTGGGACTGCCAATTGAAACTTATGAGTAAAGAATCAACATGCTAAAGTTAAGGAAGTAAAAGTTGGGAGTAGGAAATACTCTTAAGAAAGAATATTAAGAAAGAGTATTGCTAGCTCAGCTGGCCTAAACTCTCATTTGCAGTGTCTCTTACTATATTACAATCAATGGTAAATTGTATCCTCAGACCTAAAAATTCTCTGTAGAAGAATTTTAGAGTTTGATTTTGTTTCTTAAGAGTGTGAGTTAATTTGCACTGGCAAGACTGCTCACCATTAGGGTAGCAGGCGACACATCCACAACTGGGCAGACATGATCTGCACAGAGTCTCTGGCCGCCTGTTACACGTGCCTCTAGGGTCAAGCTGTTGGGATCTTATGTGATGTTGAAATCACAGGATATTATTTTTCTCTGTATGTGGTAGGGGGTAGAATGAGGTGATATGAGAAGTGTAGGGAGAATCCAGGGTCTCATCCCTTCCAAGATTTTAATGGTAACAT